TATCTATTGGATGGAACATACTTCCACTTGGAAGGGACAAGTACTGGAGCCTTGAGCATAGTCACCTGACCTTTTGTCATGGTCCAGTCTTTGGATGGATACCACTAACTAGCTACTAGTAGATCTCAGGGGTCGATATTCATCCGGCTCAGAATGGAGGATATTCCATGATTTCTCTGAAGATATGCGTAGAAAGAAATTCTTTCTTCATCTATGAAGTTAAGGTAGTAGAACCGAGAGAGGCAACGCAGGGTGCCTAGTAGCCAGGACAGAGCACCATTCTTTTGAACCGCAAAATCATGAGTGCCATTGTGTCCACCCCCCTTCTTGAGTAGCGCACTGGCACATATAGATGTGAACTACCTGGCAAAGTAACGGGAAAGGCAATGGCCTTCCTTGTTATTGACATGAACATATATTTCTAAGTTTTTATAAGTGGATACTTTCTAGTAGCTCCACCCCCATTTCAAAAAGACGTTTGGAACACCCTCAAAATTCTGTGTACTGGACGAGTTTACTCCACCAATACATTCATTTCCATTCCCTCTTCCTGAAGTCTAGCCAACACAAACTCGCGCAACTCTTGTTCCATTGGCGATACAGGTACTGTTGTTGACTCTTGGCTCTCTTCGTCGTCCGACGATCCCAACATGTCGTCTGGTAGATATTGCAAGAGGTCTTCACCCAGAACCTCTGTCAAGACTTGCTTTTGTCGTTCTGGACTCCCTCTTCCCAAAATCTCAATCTTGGCCTTGGTGCTCTCTCGCAACATGGGCGTAAAGAATTGGTAGAGTTTCTCGAACCAAGAGGGGGCATTGACCAAGAGGGTCTTGTAAGCTCGCTGAGGATAGTGAACACTCTGCATGACGACAAATTCCTTGACAAAGCTGAGCAAGTTTCGATGCCGTAACATGGAAAAAGTGAGACCCGTCATGTCAATGACAGTTGTCAATGTTCGAATGTCATGATTGTTGTCTGGTGTGGGAGGATCGAGGACATTGAACAAGTACTCCATCATAAAGGCATACTCCAGGACCATTTCGGGCAGGGGAATTTCATTTTTCTCGGCCAGTTCCAGCAATCGTACGCCAGAACCCAGTGCGGGTCTTTGCAAAAATACCACCTTGCCCGCGGTATCCCGTCCCAAAAAGACGTGTACCAGCATGGACTTGTAAATGTCAAAATTGGGTCGAGGACGTTGCAAAATGGTACCAATGTCGTGTTCCTTTCTCCATTGGAGCGTTGCCTGAAGAGCCGCCTTTGCCGCGACACGGTTCCCCTTTTGCATGGACAAGAACCGTTTGGGAATTTTGTCAGGGTCGTTTTCGCTGCCATCACCCGGTTGATACAACGAAAAATGATAGGGCTTTGTTGTAGTCAATGATGTCGTGTTGACCAGTGCAGATAACTCCTTATTATCGTTTTCCGATACCCCTCCACCATGAATCAAGAGAGCATTATCACGATGTGTCAGAACTACTTCTGCCAATGGGGAGCTTGCTTCCTCTGCCGGAATCCCAATGGCGCAGATGCATAGTAGTAGCAGCGAGCTATTGAGCCTGATCATCATTCCTCGATTTTGTGTTTTTTTGGAAGGACCTCTCAATAGTCTAATCTATGGCGATTTATTTTACCACTGAGATAACCAATCAACCAGAGCAACAACTTACTCTTGGATAGAATCGATACCTTGTCAAGATAGATACTCAGTGGGATCAGTCGATTATTAAGACTGTACTAGTACCGGTACCGGTGTACACTAAAATGGGTTCGTTTGCTGCCACAAAAGTGAGGATGTCTGTGTGGCTCGTCATTGGCCTTGTAGGAATGCAGAGCCGTGTGAAGCGGAAGCTGTCACTGTCAGGACACGGCACCAGTAACCAAGTGCTGTACAGCTAACCAAGCGACCAAGCGCATGTGAATTGCCCATCAACCCAAGTCATTTCGAATTTCGAATCGAATCCATGAGCAAACCCGTGAGCACTGATCGGATCTTACATCACTGACGTCAGTTCGTGACTCCAACCGACTCGTCACTCATGACGGCAATTCACACCCGCTCTCACGAGCCGAGGTCTCTTCTGACAACCAAAGATCGCGAAAGATCTGCCTTCAGTTTTCTGAGAAGATGCCACCGGTACTTCCAACTTTCTCACCACAGGCCAAACGAAACTATCTCTCGTCTTTGAGTACAGGTATCCTTTTGCAATAGTCAACTCAATAATTCAACCTTTCCACCATGACAACGGCTACAGAGGACACCCCTCTTTTGTCCGGCATTCCGACGAGCGAGGATGATCAGAAACGTCAATCCTTTCGTCGTACTTCCTTATCTGCCAAGAACGCAAAGCTTCGACCCGTCGATGGATTGTCTCCCCTCGCACCGGGTGGAGTGATTACTTCCCTAGATGGCTACACAACCATTGCTCGACCACCTTCGGTCGTCAAGTCTCTCCCGGCATTTGCTCCTTATCGGCGCAAGGCTCGTCATCGGTCCTTTACCATTTGGTGGATCAACGAATTCCGTCACTGGTGGAAATCCAGTCGACTGCTCGTCCGATTGGCCGGGCTCTTTACATTGGCATTTACCGGCACGTTCCTGCTGCGCATGATTAACATTACCGTGGATCCACTCAAAATGGCCAAGAATACCAAAAAAGCCGTCAAGATTGTCAAAAAATTGGGACAAGGAGGACCCATGCGATTCTTTTTGAAATACGTCAAACCCTTTACTCGCACCTTGCGATTGTTTGTGGCAGGGTGGCGTTGGGCGGAAGCCTCTCAATGTCGACGAGGAGAAGTGGGAACCGAGGAAGCCTTTGCGTTCATGGGGAATCGAGTCTCGCGCACGTTGGCTCGATTGGCCGTGGACAGTCTTGTGGCCTATGTCGTCATGCCCATGGCCTATGAACTCTTTCAGTGGCTACAGTACGACGATTGGTGGCATCCCATCACTGTGTTTATAGTTCTGGGAAGCCTTCGCGCTGTGGCGCCATATGCGGCATCCTTTCAAGGGTCCAGGGTGGGGCGAGTCCTGACGCGCCAATTCTTTCGCGGGGCCAAACATCGATGGTTGCCGATTCAACCCATTACTACGCTCAATCTACTGAGTGATGATTGTTGTGAACAGGATGAAATATCTCAGACAGCTGATCTGGCAGTGCTGGCCAAGGAAGTTGCCAAGGCGTTTGGCAAGGCAAAGGAAATTGGCTTGGATGGCATGGAAGGGCAGAGAGAAATCCTTAAGGAACAGGGCTTTCATCAAGTAGGAGCTGGAAGTGGAGGGTATGCGGTCTATTTCTGTCGTCGCAAACCACCCAATGGCTCGACCGACATGACGATTCTCCTTCATGTGACACCCTACGGACCTTCTATTTTGAATGTCATGCCTCGCTATATTGTCTTGGAATTTGAGGATTCGGTGGATCGAAGAAATCATTGGTCAGAGTACATTGCCCGGAAACAATTTGAAGGCCCGCCTGTAGTCGAAGGCTACTGCTATGGAGGCGCCTTTTTCAGTCCCCATCACTTTGCCGAACTCAAAGAGAGATATGACAAGCAGTTGGTGACCTACCAAGTTGGGTGCAAGACGCTCTGCAAACAACGAACTGGACGCAATCCCAATCCGCCTTCTGACCTGAAATCCCTCAAGACCTTTCTGGCTGATGCTAAGAAACCCCGAAAGCGACGCCGAAACCAGCGGCAGTACGAGGAACTCCAAAAACAAGTCCACAGAGTCGCCAAGGATTTGAAGCGAATGATGGCGATGGCAGGAGATCAGGCTCCCAAGGGAGTTATCTTGTACTTTGAGGGTTTGGATTGTGCCGGGAAATCCTCGACGGGAGGATTGGTCGAACAAGCCCTGGCAGAAGCCGGCTTTCAAGTTGCTACCAAGCAGTACAACCGTCCACCGACGCCGGAACAAAAGCTGAAACCCTGGATGGATCGATTTGAAGTTCCTGAGACGACGACGACGACTGTTGGTTTGGCGGTTCCCAGCGGCAGTAGCAATGAAGAGCAGCAGGAGACTGCGCAGTCGTTGCTTAACAAGCATAGTGCACTGGTTTGGGATCGTGGTCCGTCGGGAGACTTTGTGTACAATCCAGAGTACAGAGCATTGCCCATGGAGGATCGTGAGAAACTATACAAAGAATTTATGGACTTTGATCGAGAATGCCTCTCCAAGGGCATTTTGTTCCTCAAGTTATTATTTGTCGCCAACAGAGACTCCATTGCCTCCACGCTTGGAAAACGCCTGGCACAGAAGCAAATGGCGCACGACCTTCGTATCTGGGTAAGCTATCGAATCGAGTTTGGGCTTGTTGATGCACTGCGGTGATCTCTTGCGACCCTCCTCACCCGTTCGCTTCTTGCACTTCTTGGCAGCACAAAGCGTCCAAGGGCGGTGAAGTCGACTCGGACGAGGGGTTTGAAGGTTTGGATGCGATTGAAAACCACCTGGATCCAACCGACTTTGTGGCCTTCAACAGCTACCAAACCAATCTACGTATCTTTGCCAACTGTGCTATGAACACGAATACCCCTGAGAATCCTTGGATTGTCGTGAATACCGGAGACCGCTTTGCCGCTCGGAAGGCGTTGCTGCGTGCCTTCCAAATCAAATTGGACCGTTTCAGGAAGGGGGACTCCAATTGCTGCAATGCAACAACATCAACACAATCACGGGCTCCAACTGCCGTTACAGAAGAGGAAATGCTTGAGAAAGGATTTCAGAGGGCTCCTCCAATTGGGTTGATCGTGTCGTTGATGGGAATGCTGATCATTCTCTTTTACTACTCTTCCAACACTACTTTCAGACGCCCATCTGATATCTTCAGAGATACCTGGATCAACATTGAAGACTTGCTCCCTGTGGATGACGAGGAAGCTGGTAGCAATAGTTAGCCAGTGTGGCAAAGCATCAGGCAACGTCCAGACAAGATCAGAAAACAACCACAAACGGAACTGAGAAGGCTCTTTGATTTTTCTCAAGCACTCATGAGGGTACCGTACGGAGCAGGCCTAAGCTTTGCCCACCAGACCAGCAGACCGGGCCCTGCAAAATGGGCCCTGCAAAATGGGCCTTCCGTCAACGACACAGGCGAAGCAACCCGGGTAAGGCAGACCTGGCGAATCGAATCCGCTTGCCTGAACTGTACAGTAGTTTTTATAATTTTTATAATTATAAGCAATTCGTGAAAACTACACTGACCGACCATCGCAACACTTCCAAGGCCCGCCTGTAGTTGAAGGCCGGCTAGCTAGCTAGTACTATGGAGGCGCCTTTTTCATTCCCATCACCTTGCCGAGATGACACCAGAAGGGTCGGCACGAAGTTATCCACTCTACATAATGTCAAAAAGCATCGCGAAGCCCAATCTTTCTTTCATCTCCTTTCCAAGCCCTTCTGGTTTGGTCACCTTTGTCTCTGATATGTACCGCTACCGGTACCTTCCTCACACTCCAAACACAAAATACAAAAATCCGGAAGAGACAAACTAAAACTAATAACGCTTGCTACCTGATAGATATCTACGATACAACCATGAAGTCCCTCTCCATTGTTTTAATGGGTGCTCTTCTCGCCTTCATGACGTACCAGTTGGGTCTGTTGGAGCGTCCTGAATTCAAGCACCACAAGAGCTTCCTGAATGGTCAAGAACTTCATGCCATTGTTGCCACCACTACCGGTAATATTGGTCAACAAGTGGAACGGCTTGTGGTCGGAACTAAAAAGGGCGTGGGTGCCCTTGGCGACAAGGGTACTGCCATGATGGCAGCAGCTTCCAAGGCGTACGGAGTGGATCAGGAAGCTATCCCCGCCATCAGCACGGGCTTGTACTTTGACGATCCTTTTTCCATGGAACATCCTCGATGGGCCATTGGCTGGGCCGTGGCGGGGCCGTCCATTGAAGAGCTAAAGGCACTGTTGCCAGTTGTTCAAGAAGCGTCAGGGCTAGAATCCAATGAGATTCGCGTTGTGCGAATTGGTGGCAGCGGCACCGAAATAATCACCGTTCGAATTCCTTGGCGAAACTACTTCACCCCCATGATTGCCCCTATGCTTCACTGGGGGAGAGGATTTCAAGTCTACGAGAAGTATATCGAAGAGAATAAGGAGGCTGACAAGGGAGTCACTCCAATTGCATTGGAAGTCTATGTCCACGAAGGAGACGGTAGCACCAGGGAGTTTATCGATTACACGGTTCTGTTTGGCGAGGTGTCCAACACATGGGAAGATACCTTCCCGGAAGCGGGCGACAATGAGACCGAAGAGGGCGGCGATACCACAAAGACGGAGTAGATAGATCTTGGCGCTGCAATTGATTCTAAGGATACCGTTCCTGCAGGCGAGGACATACGTGTTTCTGACTATGCATACAATGAACTAACATTCAAAGAAGACCCGATGGATCCGAATAGGAGCGAGGGTGAAGCCTTTAAACCATGTAGCCCTAATAATATGTCGCTCGCTCTGAAAAAAAGATCATTAGTTTTATTAGCACATATTCGCCTCGAGCTCCCGCTACCAGCGGCCTCGTGAGCGTGCGGAAAAACGGGCGAAGAGAGTGAAGTGACGAGGCTCATGCAAGCCTGTAGCGATCCCACGGAGTCTTGCCATGCTTTGCCAGTGGATTATGGTTGATTGGATAGTGGTTGCCATGGCCAGTGCTTCCCCTGACATCGCTGAGCAGTCCATTTTCTTCCTCGTCCGAACTAGAGTCATCATCGCTATAGCCATCTGCGGCGGTGGGGAGGGGGCGTTTCTTAGCGTTGTTGGTACGAGTTGTTTCCCCCGGAACGAAAGCCATGTGCTTTTCATATTCGCTGAAGTCATGAACTTCCTTGTTGTTGTTGTTGCTTTCAGCGGCATTCTGGGGACGGGTGGGACTCTTTCGTGTGATCCACTGAAACCCAATCTTGACCAGCCTTTCAATCTTGTCCTTGTTCAAGGTGCTCTTCAATCCCTTCTTGAGCTTGCGGTATTGTCGGCGTTGACTATGAACCCAAGTGCCCAACTCAGGGTATGTTTGAGGAACGTTGCAATGCCCTTCCTTCTCCTTGAACTCCTGACATGACAACACGTCAATGAAACTGCAAGAGACATGGGCACACAACAACATGGTCACCTTTCTTACCAGTAAATCTTGGAATCGCTCTTCCCAGCATTTCGTGGGTCTGGGCAGTACCGAAAACTTGAGTTTGCGCTCAAAATTGAAGCCCCAAGATTTGAGTTTGTCGATCTGTTCCTCTGTCAGGGAGTTCTGAACACCATTCTCCACCTTCTGCCAGTACTTTTTGCGGACCTTTGACACCCACGAGGCCAAAGGGTCACCCTCCTCAGATGGTGGGTCCTTTCCATGCTTGGCTTTGTATTCCAGCCACTCTGCTGCACGATGATCAAAGTTCATGCGACGATAAACCTGGAAGCGAAACCCAAGCTTGGTGAGTTTTTCCATGCGATCGGGCGTCAGATCTGATTTCTCCCCCTTTTGGAGCAATTCAAAATCCTCTCGCATTTTGAGGGTCCAATTTCGTAGCAGCTTGCTATAATGCTTCATTGTATCAACTCCAGCAGCTCGGTAGTGGGGAACCTCCACTGTCCCATGTGCTTGCTTGAATGCCACCAGTTGATTGTACATTTCATCCCACGACACATTTTTGAGTGACGGTTTATCAGAGGCGTGCCCGGTTGGATTGACTCCCAAGGCAAGGAGCCGATCAATTCGTTCTTTCGTGAAACAACTCTTGTCAGGTTCTTCTTGAAACTCTCGAATGGCCCTGGCCTGATAACTGACCCATCGATACAACTTTTCTTCACTCCTTTCTATCTTGGCAGAGACACCATGTTTTTCCTTGTACTCTTGCAGCATTTTGAAATTGGCTTCCCATTTTGCAAGACGCTTGGCACCCCATTGCCTGGAACTAGCAGGACCGTTGCTGGCATCGTTGGCGGGTGGTGTCGCAAAGCCAATATCCTGTAGCTTCTTGACACATTCTGCATCCTTGCTGGAGACAGGCTTATTAGCAGCACGAAGCTCTTCCACCTTTTTGATTCGTTTTCGTTCGTATGCAACCCATCTTTGAAAACCGTCATCATCCAGTATGTGACTCTTTTGTACAACTGCGCTGCCATATTTTTCCTTGTACTGGATCAATTGCTTGTACCTGTCTTCCCAGGAAATGTAAGCCCTGAGGCGAAGTTGACGGGACGCCGTGGCCTTTGGTTTCCCCTTGGTCGCAGGTGCTTGTGTATTGGTCGCAGTCACAAGTTGTTGCTGTGTAGCAACGGTTGGTTGTGGCTGTGTAGCAACGGCAGCCGGCATCACGGGATACATGTATGCGTACCCAGTAGCCGGCATAAAGCCCAGCGCAGGATGATACTGCGGCATGACTGTGGCATTCTGTGGCATGGCTGTAGTGTGTTGTGGCATGACTGTGGTATTCTGCGTCATGGCTGTAGCTGTAGTGTGTTGTGGCGCGGCTGTGGCATTCTGCGGCGTGGTTGTGGAATTTTCTGTGGTATTTTCTGCTGGAAGCATATTCTTTTGCTTGAGTTTGGCGACAACTTCTGCAGCTTCCTCTTCCAATTCCTTGGCTTCTTCAGGGGTTGCTGGCTCCGCACGATTCTTGCCAGCGAGATCTGTAGCACCCACTGTAGCGGGAACAAGCGAAGTAGCACCAGTATCAAGTCCTCCCGACTCTTCTGGTTGCTTACGGGCTACACGCAGGCGTCGGCTGAGTTGATTTTTGCGTTGCCCCAGCGTGACATTTTCGTCATCTACAACGTAGGGATCAATATCGTTTGGATACTCGAATCCTCCAATTTGGAGCGCTTCAAATAATGGCATTGTGGGGTTTTCCGTGCGAGCCGCCACGGCACGATTCATTCGAGGATCTCCCTTGCGGCCCGCCTGTGTTTGATTACCTGGTTTCTTGGCGGGTGCAGGCTTTCTGGTGGAAGAAGGATGTTTGGGTAACTGCGATGGTTTCGGAAGCTGTGCTGGAGGAGGCATGTAGGTTGGGGTGGGATAGACCATTGGATATTGAGGAGGAGGGTGTACAGGAACAGCTGGGGCGGCATATGCCACGGGCGGTGGTTTTGGGGGTGCATAAGTGTAGCCCACTGGTTGGGTCGGCTGCTGATTATTGTTGATAATGGCTGGGAGATTCTGCCAAGGCATAATATACTTGACGGCATCCCAAATACTTTGGAATTCTTTATACTCCACTACGGGCACGTTATCACCTTCCTCATCGCTCTTGGCTCTTGCTTTGGCAACGGCATACTGTTTGCAATCTTCCACACAGGTAAAAATGGCGGGCGATTTCAGAAGACCACTCTTCTTGATGGCCCAAAACTTCAGTGGGCGCTCTTCTGCTGGTGTTTTGCCAGCTGGTTGGGTAGCACAAGTAGCCATTGTAGCTGGCTGCCTACTAGTAGTCGACTATTTTAAATAATAAGGAGGCGTCAATCAGAGACGGACAATGACATGGACAACATGTTGGCGGGGTTTTGGAGGGAAGAGAGAGGAGGTCGAGAGGAGCTTCGAGAGGTCGGTCGAGTGGTGCTGCGAATTGTACCGGTAGCCCCCAGACCCACATTGTCTCCAAAAGGAAACGACGCCTCGAATCAGATTCGAATGGTTCGATTGAAGATTATCATACCATTCGAATGATTGAATCATTCGATCCGATCGAAACGGCTGTGGCGGTTCCCGCCACCCTGCCAAACATACTTGCATTTAATTAATGCCGTGACAGGATTTGATTTTTTTAGCCATTATCGCTGAGGTGGGAAAGCGATGAACTCCCTCCACCACTGTCACAAACAAAATCGCCGAGAGGGTCGCTTTCGCAGAATGATCCATTTGCTTTCGCTTCCATCTTCGAAAACTTGCTGTCATTTCTCCATTGCAAATCTCATTTCTTATTCTTTCAGGTTCCTCCAAATAAATTTGTACGGCAAGATGGTGGTGATTGTAAGACGTCCTTTCCAGTCTGTTTTGGCCCTTTTCGCGATCGCCTCGGTTCGTGCCATTGAGCTCGTAAATCTTGATTGCGATCCAGCAATCCGAGAAACATCCAGTTGCGGGGCTGGTGGTCTCTTTAATGGTGTCGGTAATGGTCCTCTGACGGGAACATTTATCTGTGGGAAACGAGCTTTGGGATTTCCCGGGTTTTCTTGGCAGAAAGAAACCACGCATTGCGTCTCCACATTGCTCGGACAAGTCGTTGGGTACGAAGGTGACACATGTGGCTGCTGCAATAACCAATGTCCAGGGGCGTGCAATTGCGTCTGCGATGAAGAACAAGACTTTGTTTTGGTAAAAAAGCAGTCTCTCCTTCGCGGGGAAACCGCAGTATGCGTGTCTAGAGGGAAAGCCAGCCGATGGGTTAGCGATGGAACTACCGAATACTCTTGTGTATCGGATCAGGAATGCCCACAATATTCCGATATACCACCAGCTGATTCTGAAGTACCACCAGCTGATTCTGAAGTACCACCAAGCACAGAAGAAGAACCTCCTGCAACAGAGAACGATCCACCAGAGTGGCCTTCCAATTCCGATGTTGAGATTGAAAGAGAAGAAGAAGTACCCGACGATGCTGAAGAAGTTGTGGATTTAACATTTGAACAGGCCACGGCTGCTCCAACGGAAGAAGATACGGTAACCGACGAAAAACCAGCAAAAGGTAGTGCAAAAGGTAGTCCCAAAGGGCAACCCGGTGCATAGATCAATTTCGGCATGGTTTGTCTTGAGATACTCATTGATCGGCCATTCATTTAGACACAATACTGCATTTTGGTACTCTTACCGTGGTGCGACTTTTTCGCGATGTAGAAACAAAAAATAATACATAAGACTCCTGTTTAATTACTCATCGTGGCTTGTATGTTTCGTTCGGTGGGTTGGCAGCGTTCTTTGCGAGTCTAGAATTGCTTCGTTTTTGACTGACTACCTTCCGCTTCACCCGCTTGGATCGTGAACACAGAACTGAACGCATTCCGCTCTGTAACTCGTGGACTAGAAGCGACAACGAGCTTGAGAAAAAACTTCTCTATTATTTGCATTTTAACGTCGCGAGCTCGTATTCATACCAACCTCCAAATTCTCATTTTCTTGACAAAATGTCTCTTGCCTGGGTGTTGTGTTACTATTTGGTTCCATTACCATTGTTCTATTGTCAGCGCTCCAGTGACTTCCTCTGCAAAATTCAGCCGAGAGAAATCCGATTTTGCACGTCATTCCACGCATTTCACCCAAGGCACTACTATTCCATTCACAAAAGAAAAGGCCCCTGATCCTCAAGATTTCCATCATTTTCCCCTTTTCAACCATCCAATGTCACGATTGTTGCTTTGTAATAAGGTCCATTGTTTGTCAGCCCTCGGCAGCGTGAATCAATCTCACCAAAATAAATATTACAGCGGAAAGATTCTACCGCACAAGAGCGTCATTCTACAAAGCAAATTGTCGATTCATTGCATAGTGTTTCCAAGGAAAGCACGAAAGAATCCAAATCCCAGTTGCCACTTCTCCCTTTGGTTGTTGTTTGTTGTTTTATTAGGACGTTTGTGTGAGTCCCAATTTGACCAATGGATTGGTGAGTTCATCGGCATTGGGAAATCGTCCTTCTTGCAATTTACTCCAAATGACTCGTTCTCCATCGAGCACCACTTCAAAGGCCCCCGACGTGGCGAATTGTCCTACGAGTTGCGGCAACAAGAAAAACAAGGCCACGGCGATTTGGGTGCCGTATTCTTGTAGCGTAAAGTAAATAGCCGGAGGATCGTTGTATCCAATAAATCGAAAGAGTTGTTGTCCTCCAAAAATCATCCATGCCATGGCCGTCACCTGCATCAAGGTCAGCACGTTTTGTACGAGCTCCAAAATGGGCGGCGCGGGGTAATTGTCGCCCGTGATTTGTCCTCGAAGTTCTGGGAATTGACCTTCTAAAAATCCCTTTACTTTGAGGAAGTTGGACTTCATACCTCATCCAACACAGTACAGAATGTGGAGCGAATGAGCCACCTTGCTGCTGTCGCTGTCGCCGCCGCCACTGGTATCGGGAGTCTGTGTGGGTGCAGCATAAAGTGTGAGGAATTTGCAATGTCTCATCAACTACGAGCACTCCGCTGTACTACTTACTGAAGCTTGCACATCGTCAAATTCGTCAGCACGAACCATGGTACTAGTGTAGGTCGATAAAAGAAGCGTCGCGAGAACCAGGAGTGAAACACTCCACAGGTGTTTCCGCAAAGCCGTCATGGTCGCGAGTTGTGAGTGCCTCGAAGAGAAGAAGAAGAAAGCGGAGGAACAAACCAGGCGGGTTCGATTGTAACACGAACCCTTTACGAATGCTAGGGAAAGGGCTTAGTCAGCGGCGGCAACCAAACAGGAACCACCGAACCACTCGCCTTTGCTAGTTCGGGATCCAAGATCCATTTGCACACAATGGAAAGAGAAAGGAAGAGGTGTCCGCATACCTTCAGCTGAACGAACAAAGGACGAGGGAGCCGACAATTGATACTATCCTTAGAATTGCTACTGTATACCGAACATCATGATTTCTACAGCTGTCAAGACGGCCGTTGCTACCAGCCAACGGCAAGCGATGAGAAGGGGCATCTCGTCGACAGCCACTACTACTCGACCTTCTTGTCGTGCCGTGGGCTCCAAGTGTCGATTCTTGACGACTACTACTAGCAACAATGCCGTCACGCCTCCTCCTGCCATGAAAACTACTAGCCGACCACCACCACCACCAGCCGACGCCCCCATTCCCAACGAAATGCAAAATCCCCCTGACGTGCATGTGGAAGTAACGCCGGAAATGAAAACGGCCAATGTGGCGTTGGCAGCCGTCTTGGTGGGATTTGTCGGTGGAGTCTGGTATTATTCCATGAAGAGTGTGGGAACGCAAGATGCGGCCAACGCTGCCGATGATCCCTTGGCACAACTCAAACTCGAAGCGCAGGAAGCTATTGATCGACAGGAAAAGGAAACTCAAGATCCTCGTGCGAAACAATTGCTGCAAGAATTTAGTCGAGGAGATCACGATCCCGACAAGGCAGAAGTGGATGCGCTGGAGGAACTCGAAAAATTGGATGAAGAAGAGGCTGTGGAAAAGAAGAAAAACAAAAAGTCGTGGTGGAAGTTTTGGTAGAGGACCATTGGTTTTGCTGCGGTACTAATATGGTATAGTCGATGAGTTAGTACTGCGAAAGGCAAATACACAATCCAAATTGCACTATAATTTACTGCACTCTCTTGCCAGTTGTCCTGGTTTTCGTCTGGCTAATTTAGATAGCTAGCAAGAAGGTCCATCAGTGGACAAAGCACCACGTCGCACGCAACACTCCTGTGCAGCAACGCCACGCCTTCGAAAAGACGCCCAAAATGAGGATCAATTTTCAAGATGGTCGATGTTGTTGGCCTCGGTAGGCTGAGCTGGAGTCGAGTCATGGTACTGTAGTCCCAATGATGGAAGCTTCAAGCTGGAGTTATCTCTGGGGAAGTTTGTGGAAAGTGGCCTGTTTGTAGAGCTTGTTATACCTCTTCACACATCTGGGGTCCTGTAGTTGCAATCGGCGGCATTGGGGTTTCCAAATTGGTGGCTGGTCATGGCCTGGTTGCGGATTGTTTGCTCTTGAGACATCAAATCCGGCACCAGATCTTTCAAAATAGGATCACACCAACGGCGCTCCTCCATTGTTAGCATGAATGGTGTCGGATCAAACGTTTTTGGTGTAATCGCCACCAGCCCGTTGAACCACCCCTTTGGTGGGTGGATTGTTGGCATAGCACCGAGTGTGGACTATCTGCTCTTTTCCCTTGTGTCCACACATGTGGTGCTGCATGGGCAAACTCAAACCAAGGCGGTCCATTTCCTGAATGGCTTGGAAGCGTGGCTGGTGAGTAACCTTTTCACAGGTTATGCCATTGTCATAGTAGAAACTGTCAAAGTTTGTGGTAAATTGAGCAGATTCTATGTGTTTCGAACGGTCGTCTAAACATGGGTAGGTCCAAACACCGAAGATGGCCTTGTAGTTCTCGCTGGTGAAATCTGGGAAAACTTGTCGGTTCCAGTTAGTAAACGGACTGACAGCCGTCTCCTGAGAGTTGGCCTTTTTGCAAGCAGCCAATCACTGTTCTTGCTCTTCACGTTAGTACGGACAGGACCATTGCCACAGCCAGCAGGACCCATCTTGTGATGGCCTCCAGCACCAGTAGTAGGACAGAGACAAGATGAAATTTCTGAGCCTGTCAGCAAACAGGGCACACGTGGAACTAATCTTGAACAGCTATTCGTGTTATCTTCCTTGATGGGCTGGTCAAGAGAATTTCCAATGACACCTAAGTCGTCGATGAAACAAGCACTAATCTCCATATCACAAAAGATACAAGTTATTGCCTCATTGACAAAGCTAGGAGAACTGTTGATTCCCATTGGTAGACCTTGGCACTTGTATCTGGCAGGAGCAGCCCACCCTGACAATTCAACTTCTACATCAAGTTTTCTTTGTTATCCTCTGGAACAGGACGTGGGACATGAATGCATTGGCTGCTTCTTGCTAAGGGTGGCAATAGGGGTACCTTGACCAGAGCAACTGGTCAAAAAGCAAGCAAGGGAACTCTAAACCCCCGGTGGGAAGATAGGGAACGGTACCGGTACATGTACATGTACTGATATGAGAAGGGAGATGGGGATATTCCAGTCAAGCTTGGGGCTGTCATTGATACTAGCTAGCTAGCTAGAACGTCGAAGCACGGATGAGATTGAGCCAACATACAGATGGGCGCTCTCCTAGACTAGCGGTAGTCACACCTTCAGATTTCACAGGCGACTCCTTAATCTCAATACAAGTAATCTCTTGGACTTTTTAAACCACCGGGCATTAGCTCATCCGCTACTGAATCAAGTGCTGATACCGGTAGCAACTGCCTTTCGCTTGGATCTCCTGCGAGAAACATCATTTTCCAGCTTTCCAGCAAGTGCGTGCAATCATCCGGAAGAACTTCCTTCGTTTTTTCCTCGAACCACCTGTCAACAAAGCTTCTTCTCTTCTCAACGTCCTTGGACTCTACATTCCGAGGACGGTCAAACTCGCTAAGCCATGGCAACCTTCCTTCCGTGACGTGGATGATGGTGTAGGTAAGAGAAGCGAAATCCAGCTCAGACTTTACATCTGGGTTGCAGCTGGCATGCTTTCCAAGAAGCGAATCATGGGCATAAGGAGTGCAACCACGGAAAGACTTCAATTTCCTTTCCAAAGTGGCACAGCCCCAATCACCGAGCAAGACTTGCGTAGTTGCATCTTCTTCGTTGTGCTTAACAATGATGTTGCCAGGACGGACATCCAAGTGGAAGATCCCATTCTGGTGAGCAAATTGAAGAGCACCGCAAACTTGAGCTATCGCAGTCTTGGATATTTTGCCCCAGAATTCCCTTTGGAGTTTATTCAAAGAAACACCAATGATTCCTTTCAGCCTCAATCCGATGATGTTTGACACCTCGTCTCGTAAAGTTACATGAAGATTCGAGAGCAAGTGTTCAGCATGATGGTTGGTAAGACTTGGGATGCTTTCTGGTGCGTTTTCAATATCACCAAGAATCTTCAGGATTTTGGCTTCCTCTTCGAGACTCTTTGCTTGGTTTGCCGAATAGTGAGGGACTTTCATGAATTCTTCCTCACCAATTTCGAATGCGTTGGCAAAAGCACCGCTTCCAAGGTGATAAATGACATCAAATCCTTCTTCCTGTGGGGACATCGGCGAGATCTTCATTTCTCTGTAGCTAATGCCTTTTCGGTTGGCATACAATATCGCTCCTGCGAGAAGAACAAATCCAGATTCATTTGCATTGTTGGAGCCCGGCAAAGCGTCATGTTGCTTTTCCATGTTCGAGTCAAGTCCTAATGGCGCGAGGCCAGTTGATATCCCAGCAATCTCGGCATCTGCAGTGCCAGTTCCCGAAAGCTCAACCTCAATGACTGCGACGGACAACTGCGTAAGAGTGACTCCGATGGCAGAAGCATCGACACCAGCACCACCAAAATTAAAGGCATGCTCAAGTTTCTTGGACAGGTGGCCAATAATCTGAAATCGACCCTTGTCGGTCCGTCGAATGAACTTTTTGCTATCAGCAGGTGCTGTCTTTATCTCCAAGGGGGAGTGTACCATGGCTGGGAGACGAACTGCCAGGTGCTTTGTATGAGTTTGCATCGTTACGTCACTACCAGATGTAGAGCTTGTCCTGGCAATAGACTGTTCTGTTGTCACCCCTATGTCAGAGGCGGCAAAAATCACAGTGGCATCGTCCGATGGTTCTTCCTTGTCTTCGATTATGTGAATGATTCGGCACACAATAGCATGTAAAATTGGTTGGTCAACGTCGGTTTCGCAATCGACGTAAGTTGGTGGTCGGGCAAAGCTCTTGTCTGTACCATCGAAAACAGCACCTTCCCAGTCAAGAATAGCTTTGACTGTGTTTTCGACACAGGACTTGTCATTGGTTTCTGTGGCTGCTTTGAAGAGATTGGACACATACTCTTGAAAGGCAAGCAAGCTTTGTTTCGCCTCCTGCGAGACCAAAGCGGACAATTCCTGGCGTAACTTTTTCCCTTGCTCACCGGCAGTAGAGTCGTGTATTGTTGGTGGGCTGGCTCCCTTGTCTTTATGAAACCGTCGGCCGTCGAGAGAGATTGCTGGGTGATCTCCCGTCTGGCTCTGTTGGCTTTCATTCCCTTTGCAACAGTTGACATAAATCTTATCCTTCAGTGCGTTGTGTCGATCATACAGATTTTGAATTTTTGATAGAGTAAGCTCAGACCTACAGAGAAGAGCCTCAAAACATTGTTGCTGAAGTTCTTGCTGAAGTGTTTGATATGTATCAATGTCGGTACTTGAACTCGGCGCATTTTCTTTGTCTGCCGATGGATGGTATGTTTGCACGTTTGCAATCGATTTCTTTATGTTTTCACTCAACTTAGACAGCAACTCGCTAAGAGGAGATGAATGGTCAAACTCATCTTCTGTGAGATACATGGCCTCGCGATCTGGAAACTCCCAGGTCTCTTTAAGCGTATCAAAGTTGTCGGCGCTAGCTTTGCTCTTCCAGCCGTGAAACCATGCCTCAAATTTGGCAAGCCTTTCTCTCCAGCGGTGCGTTGCGGAGTAATTGTGTTGCTCTCCATCCGGATTTGAAAGAGCGAAGGAAGCCTCCTCGCGGTTGGACCCTTCGATGTCTTTGCTGCCATTTCATTCCGACATCTTCTGTTCTTGTCTTTGTGCGCCGGTTTTGCTGCTCCTGTCACCCACAGTTAGCGCAGCATGTTTCTGGGCACGATTGAACCATCAACTCAAGCGGGCGGGCGTCCGGCGTGGGGGCTAGCTAGAAAGGCAAGAGTTTTGCGCGGAAATCACCAAATCTTTGTCCTAATGTAGAGGTGTTTGGATTGAAGTTGGAAACCGACTGTCGTGTTGGAAAGCTTTCTTTTGGCGCTTTGTTCGGCACAGTCCAGTAGGAGGCAGCTTGCATAGCAAAAACCATGAACGACGCGTACGATCGAACCTCTCACGATTGGAGAGGCCAAGAGAAATATGGAGAGAGCAGGGGCTTGCTCCTGGACATCGGAAGAGGAAACGACTGAACTGTTCGGCGGTTGCAGCGAATCAACAGACACTTCGTGTCGTCAAGCGTTTTTTACGTTTTTACTGAACAACAGGTTACTTTCTTTTGGGGGCGATTGTTGCTCATCGAGTGTCGCAAAAATAGTGGGCATATGAACCAACAAGATTTTCGCCGTTCATCGTTGCTCACATTGTTCCAATGGTTTCTGTGTCTTGTGCCGCTGGCTGCCAAGGGGAAAGGTTGACATTTCAAGGCCGTTCAGGTTATTCTTACCTACGCGTTTCCATTCCCTTTGTGGTTTGGACGCACAACCCGTGGCCTGTCAGCTGGCAGTTTACTTTCAGTATCGCTACCAAAGTTGTGTTCGGGTTGCCAAGCTTGTTCACCAGCAATGGTTCAGTCGCCACGGTGCTTGCTAAGGCTCAGCGATTTCACATCTTGGAATATTGAGCTCTCCTTCTCTTGTGCCGGTGCAGCTGGTTATTCTTATGGAAGTGGGGGCAGTCACAGCTCAGATGGCGAGGACGCAACGCCCACGACACTGGTAGTCTTGGGTATCGCCTTTATGGTCTGCAGTGTCTTCTCTGATGCCATCATTCCCAATTATCAGAAACTATTACTCAATCAAGGAGTTCCTGTCACCCAGCTGATGATCAATGTCAATACTATAGGTGCCGTGACTTCTTTGGCATACATAGTGGTGACAGGCCAGCTGTTTGCTCTCCTTGGTGCTTGGCATGCGCACCCAGAACTGTTGTTTTACTTGACCTGCGTGGGAGTTTCTCTTTCCATCGCTGTATGGGCGTACACAAAGCTGATCCAGGCTACTTCCTCAGTGGTGGCCGTGGCAGTTTCCACTCTTCGAAAGGTGGCAACTATGTTCCTATCCTACATCATCTTCCCCAAGCCACTGCTGACAATTCACATTTACAGTGGGTGCATGGTCCTGTTAGGTGTGATTCTTAGCACCGTAGCAAAGGAAAGAATGGACAGCAAGAAATAAATGAACAGTGATGGGTACAAAAACAAGGATGCCAACCGGTACACGGTTCGTCAACAAACGGTAACACATACCAATATATAGAAAATAACAGAGACGTGCCGGCTACAGCAAAAGTTGATACAATAATATGGTCTACGGAGGGCTTTATCGTTTTTGCTGGTACCGGTAGGAACAACTTTGATCTAGGGAAGTCCACTCTCTTCTGAGTTCTCAGCGTTACGGTGCAAACTCTTTCAATTCAATTACATTCCTTTGTATAGTGCCGCTTTCCCAGATTGGGGCAAATCCAATTGATGCTTATTCTCATCATCATCGTCGTCGTTCTCGCCTGGCAAGGGGGTGCCTTTTTCCATGTGCTCATCCATCCAATAGTCTCCACCCTGGCTCCAATCAGAAATGTGGCTACCTTCAAAGCAGGGATCCTCATCCTCGTCTTCAATATTTTCGCAGCCAGGCCACTGGAACCGATCGAAGCCCCCATCAGGCCCACGACCAATGTTTATCATTCCTTCTGATTCATCATGTACATCAAACTTGCAGTCTTTGTTTCCGGCATAATTGGGGTCGTAGTCTTCGTGGCATCGGACACAATGCAAGCGTCGATTGCTTTGTTTCTTTAGAAGCTTTGCTGCGTGCTTACATACTCTTGGACAGTGACGGATGCCCATCTGCGCTAGCTCCAACAGCTGATCATGGCGTAGCTCGGAGGCCTCTTCCGCAACGGATTCGGGGTCCACATCACCACCCTCTCTCTTGCGCTTGGAATCGGGACGACTTGCCATGTTTGATGATTGAACGATCGATCGATTATTGTGAAGCAAATTTTATGAGAGCAAAAGAACATCAAAACGATTGTTAAAATTATGGGATTGGTGCAAACGGTGTGGCACTTTTCCGTTTTCAGCTGGTCCATAGCCATACAAGGTCGGCATCAAGGATACCGCGTGAACCACGAGAGTATTCCACGATTGTTTTCAATAGAAATGGGGTCAAACTGCAAGCGCTGAGTCAAACGGATGCGTCCTACCGCATACACGACATTGCTTCTACAAGCAAAAGAAGCACCAGTGCAGATTTTGATACGCAGCGGTTGTCTTGGTATTGCTGTTTAGTGCGGTGAACCTCTCGTTGGACTGTGCTTAGCTAGTTTGGTCGCGTGAGATTCTGTCTCGCTATATTTGGCCAGGTGAAAAGAACCAAGGTCACGAGTTCCGCCTTCCTCGTGGGTCTTGTGTCTTACCTGAATGAGTTGGGCGCTTCCGACTTGAGTGTAAGGCGTTGTTTTTGGACAGTAATCGCGTATCTTCCATATACTATGATGCTTTTGATTGGTGTCTTGGGAATCTCTCTCTTAGTGTCGAAGCGTTGATTTGTGGCGATTTCTCTCGAAGCATGTAGCTACGTATCAGCCACTTGTTCCTCTTAAATGGAATTTGTCCAGGAACGGGGTCTTTTATGGTGGTTCGGTCAATGGAGGATGATTCCCTTGCGGGGTGATCACTAAAACGTTGTCTGGCGGCTTTTTGGCTTTTTGCGATCGTCTGGTTAGGTTTTGCCGAGCAAAGCTCCTTCGGGGACCGGTTTTGAAGGCAGGGTTCAGTGTTAGAAGCGGTTGGCGCGAAACTGCTTTTTACGGTGACTTGCATGTTTGGAGCCCTGTGTAGGGACGTAGAAGGACTTGCGGTGTGTGTTTGTGGTTGGTGGGTGTTGCTGGTTGGTGTGCTTGGTTTCAGAATAGGTGGGCCCGACCAGATCGTTGTTCAAAATGAACAACTGCCCTTGCTCTTATTGTGCACATGTTCGGATGGGCGGGTGTGAGGTTGCGTTGAGGTTCTTTGTTGGGCTTGGGCTGACTTTGGGTACTTGGAGAGTTGAGGGAAAGGCTAGTCTTTTGCTTTGGGGGTTTTCGTTGTTTCGGTCGTTTCCGTTCTTTGTGGTTTGTTGCTGTGCTTTTTTGGCTGCATTACTAGGTTAACAAGGGGTGTTGTTTGGTGATGGGGAAGAGGTGCCCGTGCGTTGAATTTTCTGGGGTTGCATTGAAGGCCGTCTTTTTTGCTCATGTTGGCTACGTTTGTGTTTAGCTTTAGGATCTTTGCGCGAACATATGTTATGGGCTCCAAGGTTACGATTTGTCGGAGTTCTACGCGGACGTGTCTAGGCGCGAGTTTTTCGCTCGAGAATGGCCGTGTCATTGGACTCTTCGTCTCCTAGCGATTGCTTGGCTTTGTTGTTCGCAGCAGGCGGTGGGTCCAGCGCATTGTGCATCTTGGGTTACTAGTTTATTGGGCATTGTGGAATGCTTTGGGTCGGTTGGGGGCGTTGATTGAGTATTGTCTATGGGGGCGTAATCTTGGATTGATGTGGCTACAGGTGGCTACGAAGTGGTTATACTGGTAGTGTTTGGGTGTCTTTGCTTCACCGATAGAGCTTTGCAGAAAGAGCGCTTGTGAAGGACGGTCTACGTTTGGTCGAGGCTATGGATGTTGCGGCATTGGTTGTTCTGGGCGCTTATGATTTTGGTCTGGGTGTGATATCGCGCAGCATCGTTTTGGACGAATGTACGTGGCTCATGCTGAGATTCTCTCCTAATCAAGTGCTAGCGTTGGTGAAGACTCAAGTAAGATTCTAAAGATTGAGGTGTGTCCGTGGTCCCTTCTCAGCTGCACGGTTGGGATCAATGTGTAGGTGTCTATGTGTTATGCTGACACTGAGTGTCTCCGAACATTAATTCGAATGTTTGTGATACCTTCTATTATTCATACTCTTATACACTTTGATAGTTTCCCCGGATGTCTCTTTTTTGCGAGGTGCAGCAGCAGCTTCGCTACACACCTGGCGAGGGCTCCTTCCAGGGTGCTCCCTGTTCAAGTGCTCGCTTCCACGCGTCAGAGGGGTCTTCTCGAGGCCGGGCAATGCACGCTGCTGGTCTTATGGTCATGTCGATGTAAAGTTCTTTCCCTTTCGAGCAGGACCTTAGGTGCGGCGGTGTTGGGGTGTCTTTTTGCCGAGGTTTGGTTGTGTGGTTGGCCAACTTTTTTCGGTACACGTTTGCCACGGGTCAAGCGTTCCAACAGTGTGGGTCTTTTTGTTGGGTTGATCAGTGAGAAACTGACTTATCGGGTATGTGTTTGCTTTTATTGTGTTTGTGTTTTGTGGCCGGGACTCCTGTCCTTTTGTGTTTTTGATCGTATGTGGGGTGGTTTTTTTTTAGCAAATATTGTTTTTTGTATGCGAGACAGTGGAGCCAAGAGCGTTGCCTGTCCCTAAAATCTTTGGTGCGTTTACAGTCTCTCTATCGTCGTCTTCTCTCCCCGTCTCTCTCTTGCGCCTACCTACAGCTTGGTCCTCGTCGCGAGATTCGGGTTTCTTTCCTACAGTTTCTTTATAGTGTTGCAGTTGTTCTTGTTCGAGCTGTTCATTTAGGTTAGTTCGAGAGGATTGGTCTCTCCATTACTTCTAGTTGGTTCAGTCTTGGTGGTTTGTGTCTGTGTGTGGAAGGTTTGCAGTGCAATCTGAGGGTGTCATGTACGAAAGAATTGATATCTGTGTGTCGTTCCGTTTTGTGTGTGGGGCAATTGATAGCAGTGTGTGTGGGATCAGCCATCGATTTCGTTTTGTTTGTGTCCGTGTCAATTAACGGTCATATTTTTGTGATTACTCGCTCTCTGCCGTATTTTTGGTTGTGATCGGATCCATGTCCTATTATCCGATGTTCGGTTTGGGCACGGGAAAACGAGGAGGTGTTGGTCTTGGAAGTGTGTGGGGTGTCCGAACGATCTGCGGTATCGTGCTGTGAATGGCGTTTTTCGTTCGTTTGCGGGGAGATTCTTGGAACAGCTACGTCTGTTGTTCCGTTGTAGAACGTTTTTTGTGCGCGGCAGGCTCGAATGGAGGGTTCGGGGCCTGTTGGAGTATTTGGTTGACTGAAGAAGATAGAGGGTAGGCCAAAGCTGAAGTGTGGACTAAAATTTGCGATTTGAAGAGGCGGTATGTTGAGTGTTACCGAGGGTTGACCAACTAGGAGGCAAGTTAACTGGAGTGTCCCTTGGTATTGGTATCGAGTGGATTCTGCTTAGTCTGCCGCGCAGAGCCCGTGAGGTGGATCTTTGAAGTGTTCTGTGGCTTGTTGTGCACTACGGGGGGTTTTGGTTCGGGGGGTGGGCAGGTTCGTTTGCTCAGGTATGCAGCTCGATGTGGGATTAGTGTCAGGACACTTTCGACGATGCAGGGTTTTTAGGCGTGGGGGGCGGCGCGTGCTAGTGTCGCGGGTTTTTGGGTGTTGGTTTATGGCAGTGTTTCTTTGTTTAGTGCAATGATTTTGTTATGCTGTGTCTGTCTGCGTCGTGGGGCTAGTCTAATCACATTTTTTCTCCCGAGGATAATCGTCTCTTGGGGATTGTGTTAGCAATCTGCGCCTGGCGCCCATGTTGGCGGGTTGGTAGGCTGCCTTTGTTGAGGATGGATTGGTTGTATTGGTTGCTGTCGCGCTGGTCTTCTTGTTTGTGGGGGCTACTATTCGTGTTTTCTGGGCGGTGCGGCGGTTGTTTGGTGGGGTTGTCTTCCAACCAAACCAAGGCATCTTCTACGGCCTGTGTTAGTGTCTCCGAATCACTCTCAGACAACTTGTCCTTGAGCGATTCGTTGATGGAACTCTTGAGGTTGTATGCATGGCTTCCCTCATTGCGTGGTTTCTTTTGATGCTTTTGGTTCTCTTATTGCTCGATTGTTCATCTGGGTTCCGGTTTTATAAGCTTCGGCTTCTTTTGTGATCTGCGGTGGCTGTTTCATCTCTTTTTCAGTATGAAGGCGACTCCTCCTTTTTTCTTCTGGACTTTTGTGTGTGGTCAAGAGTTGTTACCGAGTGGCTTGACCGGCCGTTGCTCTTCTGTGTTCGCGGGGGGGTCGCGAATATGTGTTCGGTCCGATTGGTGTGATTGAGAGGTATTATTAAATATGCGGGAGATGTTTTTCTTTTGTAGTGTTTGGTGCTCTGATGATAGGGTCTTGAAAGCTGGAGGGTCATCTTAGCTCTGTTGATTGGCTATTGCTATATGTGTTGGTAGAGACTTCAATTTTGGCGGTATCAGTGCCCTGGAGTGAGCTTGTCGCGAGGCGCGGCATTATGTTTGTGTGCTTGTAGTTGTCCTTCCAGGTGGTGTGCCAAATCTGGGAGAGCTGGGTAGGTCGTTCCGTACGATTGTGGATTTACTGTTGTCATGCAAACTTGGATTTTATCTAGGCCTTTCAGATTATGATTGGTGTGATGTTTGGAGGGGGCCAGGGGGGGGGTTTGATGTGTCGCGAGTTTAGTTTGGTATTTGGTGCATGCGCTTCCTTTTAAGCTTCTTGACTGTCGCTGGTTTTACACTTTTTATTTCTTGCAGAGTGTAAGAAGCTGATTTGTCTGTTTCACCCGGGCACAGTTTTGGGTAATCAATGTTGGTCGTGTACATCCTTAGCAGGGTGTGGATTCCTCTGCTTCTCAGTTGAAGGCCGGTGTCTGATGTATCTTTCCGGACTTCGGGGGTGTGAACGCTTGCTGCGGGTGTTGGAAGGAGTTGACGGCCTGGGGGGCCTCCGTACTCCAAGCAAAGACTCCGTGGTACTGCCGAGGTTAGCGCGGTCGTTTGTCATGTGCAGGATTTTGGTGTTGCTATATCCTGTGTGATGTTGTTGTTGTCGTGCGTCATCGTTCCGTATGACCTAAATTTAGGGGGTCACCACCGACAATGTCACAGTTAGGGGGACTGCCAAAATTTCGTTTTTTGTGCTCGACGGGCATGGATTCTATAGTGTATTGTGGTAGGCATGGGGCATGTTTCGTTTGGATTTTGGTATAGCCTGTTTTTGGGGATCTGGCTCCCTTAGTTTTTATGTTGATTTGGATTGTGTCGAGACTTATCTGACCGACGCTTACTGGAGTACTTGCGTTCGGAGTGTCGATTCTCTGTCGGTTCTGTGATTCTTCTTTGCCGATTGAGGTTCATAACTAGTGGGATTCAGTGCAGTTGATTTTCGTTGCGTACGTGGTGGGCGTGGATCAGGTGTGTTTCTGACTTTCTTGCGGTGCCTTACTTTGGGTGGATTCTGGTGGGGGGGTTGGGTGTGACACACTCATGAAGGATGAAGTGGAGTTGATTAAGATGGGTAGTTGGGGAGTCTTTTACTGGTGGGAAGGGGCTGTCTGATCAGTGTGTGTTCGGGGCGGAGTGGACGGACCGCGGCAAGAGCCGGGTCGAGAATCTGGGCCGATGTTGTTCCACGTCTTTGTTTCTTCTGGACACGTGAAGGGCTGCTTAAATACGATGGTGGTCCACTGGCGGTAGAAACTACCGGGTGTCATGCACTTTTTGAAGAGATCGTTGTTGAGTGCTTCAAACTTGGCTCGGGAGAGAGTGGTAGAAAAGTCAATACCCTGATGCAATGCTTCGCAATCAATGGTCGCAGAAGTTTGAGTACTCAGCGTTCGCTTGGCTGCTTCGCATTGTTTGCGCAACCGCTGAATCGCCCGTTGATCATTGACCTCAATCAAGTCGATCCCAGACTGACGTTTGAATTGTGAAATGCAATAATCGATGGTACGCTGGTCAAAGTCTTGTCCTCCCAAGTGTGTATTTCCTGATGTGGCTCGAACTTCAAATACCCCTGAATCAATGCTCAACAAAGTCTAGAGAAAACAAACAAACAAAAAAGGTGCATTAGCATCCAACTCCTGCCTTTCCATCACAACAACCTTGTTGGTTCCATACGGTACGTACACAATCAAAGGTACCACCTCCCAAATCAAAGACGAGGATTGTTTCTTCTTTATCTTGTCGATCCAATCCATATGCCATGGCTGCTGCCGTGGGTTCATTAATGACACGTTCCACGGACAACCCCGCAATTCGTCCAGCATCTTTGGTAGCTTGTCGTTGTGCATCGTTGAAATAGGGTTCTTGGTAGACGTTGCGAAAACGGGTACGAGACGTTTCGTGGTGTTTCGTGTGTGTGGTCCCCTAATGATCGTGTTCGGCGGTTGTGTGCTTGGCGGACTTTGTCTGCTTGGTCCGAGTGGTTGCGTTGGCTCGAATTTTTAGTGCTTTCCGGGGTGTGTTGATGTAATTTTCTGATGTCTGGTTTTTGTTTTCGCATGTTGACGGATTGGAGTAGTTAGGCTCTTTTATTCGGGTGTTCCCGTTCGAGGGTTTTGTGGTGGTGGTGCTTTGGTTGGTTCTTGTTGTAAGGAAGTATTTTCCTTTGATTTTGGTCATTTTGTTGTGATTCTGCGTTGTAGTGTCGGGTTAATTTGTTGCTGTCAGTTTCTTCGTTGATCCAAAGGGGGAGTCCGTTTGGTTTTTGGGCGTTATGTGGTTGGTCGTCTTCCGCCGTGTCTTGAGGCTCGTGCCATTTTGTGGATTGCCCCGTTTGTATTGGCGTGACTTATCGGTGTTGAGGCTTGTTTCGCTTTCTCGGTGTAGTTGATGTCGCCGTTTGTCGCTCTCATTTACGCGTACAGTGTGGGGATTTGGTGGTGGGTTCAATTGGTTCAGTTGATCCATTGCCGGGGGTCCTTGATGTCTCTGGTCTGTTGTTGTTAGTTGTCTGTCGCCGTCACTGGTATTTTTGTGTTGAGGTGATGTGGATCATTTGTCTTGTGTTTGCGTTTATGTTAGTCGGAATTATTTCCCTCCGATGGTTTCTCCGATGGGGTATTGGGGTCGGCCTCGGTTGGGTTTCTTGTAAGGGGGGTTTGTGGGTTGTTCTGGGGTTGAGGGGTGGAGTCGTGGTTGGGGTGTCTTATTGACTGAATGAGATATGGCTTGTTTGTGTTGTGTGTCTGGGGGTATGGGGTTGATGGAAGCCCGTTTTTGTGCTTGTATGTGTTTTGATGTGTAGGATGGCGTGTTTGGTGACCGAAGTTCTGCGTTGATCTTCGAAGCAAGATCTCAAATGGATTTTCGTGTCGTTTCGAATTTGCCCCCTCTGTTCATCTCTTCTGTTCGAAGATTGCCAGTTTTAGCAGTGTTGTAACAGGGCCAATGGGAGCTCGGCTTAATGAATTCTATTATTGTGGTACGCTCTGGCTAGCTAGGTTTGAGTTCAAGGTCTGGGGTTGGAGCTGCTTGAGTTGATTGGGTCACTTCTATCTCGTAGCTCTCTGTGGTCTAGTCACTTTTTGGTTTCGTTGGGTTTTACTCGGTGGACCCGATCGTGATGTTTGCTATGATGGGGGGGTAAATTGGTCTGTTCGGTGTACCTGTCGTGGTATCGGAAATTCAGTTCTCCGCGAGTGAGTTGATGGTGTGAGACGTGGGGAGTTTGGTTGTTTGGGGTGTTCAGGGTTTCCAGTGCTTGGTGGTGCTTATGCAAGGGCAGAACTTTCTTGTGGTCTAGCGGTACATGGGGTAGTGTGAGGGCTATGTGGGGTCTTGACTACCACTGAGATGGATGCGAAGTGGAGGCGCTGCCGCGGACCGGCGGGTGTGTTAGTTAGGCTTGATTGGTGTCGTGTATGATGGGGCAGGCTTTACAAGGATGTGTTTGTGAGGTGCTGCTGGATCAGGGTGGGGTTTCCGGTGTCCGCGTTTTTCTCCCAGGCCTGCAAAAGGGAGTCAAGGTTTCTCCCTTTGTAGCCGTTTGGCTTTGTGGGAGCCAACTTTTTGTTGCTTCCATTTTGGAGTTTACTGTTGCCCGGCAGATGATGCATTTTTTTTATTGTTTTGGTTTGCGGTACGTGGTATGATTTTGTTCGTGGTGGGCTAACCACTCTACCGTACGGTTAGATGGTAGTCTACGGGCGTGCAACTGGTTGATGCCGGTTATCTCGGTCACCGCTATTGCTTCTTTTTTCATGTTGCGGTAGGACATACCCCGTGTTTGTGTTGATTATATTCAGCGCAGTCAGCACCGTGTTTTGATTTTATACTCTTATCATTTGCTTGTCCTTGTATCTTCTTCTCGCCACTGGTTTAGGTCTCTTTACTAGCCGGCCTGCCCCATCTAGTGTAAATTGTGTTGATTGTCCGTCGTGGATGGGGGTGATGCTGGGTTGGGATGGGTTCGCAACGATGTTTCCGATGGTCTCTTGGAACTGCCCCGCCGTTGGACGAACTGAGATCCGGTTGTTGCCTGTCTACTTGCCCGTCTGCGTTTTGCTGGTGGCCAGGCTTGATTGGCCCGGCGTTTGGGCGTGAATCCTCACGCGAGAGATCGGCTTAGCAACACGTTCGGGTGCGTTGGTTGCTTCGTGCGTTTGGGCTCGCCGGAGCGGGGTGCTGGTAGGTTGATCTTGTTACCACGGACGTACGCCAGAGTCGCGCTCTCTGGTCGGTTTCGAGTTCCTGTGCTTTCTGGGCTTGCACGTTCCTTGTCTGGGTGGATGCGATCCTATGCGCGTCTTGCTTCTTGCGGTATGTTTTTGTATTGTGATGGTGTGGCGCCTATCAGTTCCAGACTGTGCCGAAGTGTTGTCGCTTAGGGCGAGACTGCTCCGTTGTCGGTGTTGTGTGGTGGTTTGCTTTCTGTGGCTCTGGTCTCGTGATGCTCTTCTTCTTCCTTCCTTCGCTAACGCTGCTGGACCGGGTGGTGTTGTGCTTGTTGGGATTTTCGGATATGGCGAATGTCAGAATCGCTGCTTGCCACATACCGGCGTGGCGATGTACGTTTTTGTGGGGAAGTTTTGCTTGTCCGTTGAATGTGGGGTTTTTGAGATGATGCTTGATTGCATCGGATAAAATGGAGGCGTGGTCTCAGGTACACGGGCTCGTGTGGGGTATCCAGACGGTGTCGCGCGATAGTGAGGGTGGTGGAGTTATTGTGTGTGCTTGCTGTGTTATTGTTGAGGTATTTGCTCAGCCGGTCTTGATTTGGGCGCATTTGACGTAGCGCCGGCCCGGTTCGCAGTTTTCTGTTCAGCGGTCAGCCAGACGAATCTCTCATGTCGGGAACGCATTGTATGCGTTGGGCGCCTATGAAGGTTCGACGGAATTTGGTTGATGTTTTTGTCGTTCCACTCGGCGCGCATGAGCTCGATGTGTTGAACTGTTCACCTAGTTTAGATGTGTGTCTGTGATGCGTGTCCGTTGAGGGGGTTGTGCTTGGTTTGTTTGTTGCGGGGTGGTGTAATGTTGTTTTTATTGTGTTTCTTTCTGTGTGCTGGTGTTTGTTCTTGTTCTCAGTTTTTGCTTTGGTCTTGGTGTGTTGGGGGGTGGAGTGCAGATTTTCGGTGTTGACGGTTTCTGTGATGCTGGGTTAGATTGTACTGCGCGTCTGTTGTACTGAGTGCTGGTGGGTAGGTGGCCCTGTGCCCGAGTACTGGTGGGGGTGTGGTGTTCTTGTATACTCTGGCCGTTCGTTTCGTATCCGTTATCTTGGCTATGTCCAATCTATAAATTGTAGAAGGGGTCCCTGTTTTTTGCTGGGTCGTGTGGCAATAGACTACTTTGTGTGACCTGTTGTGCCGTTTGGTGGCAGTCAGAGAGACGCCTTCCTCGGACGCCTATTCGGATGTCTGTGGTTGGCTCATTTTGGGTGTGGAACTCGTCTTGCTTGGCTACTCGGTGTAGGCACTTGGACGCGCTGAGCTAAGATGGCGGTCCCCAGTGTCCCTCATGAACACTATCGGGCGGGCAAGTCCTGCAAAGTACTTAGGTAGTTGCAGTGTTTACCAAGGAGGTCGAGTTCATTGGACATCATGAGTGGGTCAGTCGGTCGAGGGTGGACTGTTGCTAGAGTGATTGGCGCCGGAGAATAGAGTGCTGTCTGGCGCCTAGTTGTTTGACATCTGGGGAGTTGCCGGGTGGGCGTCCGTGATCTGCATAGCTCGTCAGTTTATTCTACGTGAGCGTCAAACGTTTTTGGGATTGAGGGGCTTGCGCTTAGGCTTTTTCTTTGGCGGTCAACTGGTGGTAATTTTGGCGTGGGTAAAGGAGTCCAGAGTTATAGCCTGCGGCGCAGCTATTGTGCTGCATATCCACGATACGACACTGTGGAGTTTCCATTCATCTCTTGCGGAGGAAGAGTCTTTGCGCATTTGCTCGTTCACGTGCCATGTAGATCCTTAGATTATTCAATATTCAGATAGTTTAGCGTTCATGTCAAACTTTATGACTGATTTAGCGTATTTGTGCAGTGTAATTTAGATCTATCAATGCACTTCCCTATGCCAAAACAATCCTTCGCTCTTAGCTTGTTTCTAGGTGGGCTGTGGACCCTATTTCTCGGGTGGGAGAAGGCTCGGTTTGGGGGTGTTTACCTTATCGCCGTCCCTACTTTTTTCGCGGCAAGAGCCCTACTGTGATCCTCATGCCAGAAGGGATTGCGTATGAGCGGCATGGGTATCGCAAACTCCTAAACTATTAACTATGCCTGATAGGATGTCAATGAGACCCTGGCTGCCTTGGTCACCGTTTGTCTGGTGGGACTCCTAGGTCTCCTGTGTTGCTTGTTCTATGGCGAGACATGGCATCGGGTCCTGATTCTCCGTTTACCGACTATCGAATACAAGGGTCACGTTAGAGCTAATCATTGCTTTCTCTCCGCTCCGTGGGCAGCTTTGCCTCCACATTGGACAAGCATTGTTGCTCATGCACGGCACGCCTGGCTTGAGCCCGTGAGTGGTGTGCGGGGAGGATTTATTGCTGTTTGCTACTTGACCATTCGGAATATTGACGATCGGCGCAAGGACTATCCAGACGTGTGGAGGACCTTTCTCTTGGTCTGTTGATGTTGCACATTTCCTTTGCCGTATTAGATTTCTGTCGTGATCTGATTAGTCTTCTCTTATAGTCGAGCAGGCGGATTTTGCACTGTACCGTGCTCAAGCACAGTTTAGTGACAGCGATGTATATCTGTTGGTCACTGACCTCTTTGAAGCACATCAACTACCGAATGGAGTCTGCTGCCGGGTAAGGACGGGAAACGTTCTTTGGTGGTTCCAGGTCATGGAAAGGA